GGACAGAATTGAACCCTGTGGGACTCCACATGACAATGGCTGTGGGGCCGAACAGGTGTCACCCAGTAACACTCCCTTGATTCCGTAACATTAACTTCCAATTCATGGTTTTTCCATCACATAGCTCCCCAGTGCTGACACTGAGAATTGCAGTGGATACAACCAAAGCTACTTCCTTTTCTTCCAGCTCAGCTGTGCCTTTAATTAACCAATTGGCTCATTTCCCTTTCCTCAATTGACGTGACCCTTGTGCATTGTCAGGACATAAGGCAACAATGCCCTGTTTGTGATGCTAAAGCTGCAAAAAACAATAGAAAACTCAATTTTCCTTGAAACCGCAAGACAAATGCTCAATACAGCTCTAAGCCAGCCCCTGACATATATACCTTGGATATACTGGGTGATGGTCCAATGCAAAAGAAAAAAGCGTTTGACTCCAAGGAATGTGCAATTCCAATTTTGGGTACCATTTTATCATCCATATTATAGTTTATGGTCCAAATGTGTCTGCAAAGTTTCTAGGTCCAGTTCCCAAAAGACAAATTGTCATGCATTGCAAGTAGCAGCATTATTTGTAATACTCCATATCTGTGCATGCATTCCCAGATTGACCCCAGATACAAAAATACTCAGCATTCTGATGTTCTTATCAAACAATCCTCCCAATTTGGTGTTGTCTGCAAACTTGATGATCCTGCCTTTTAACTTTTCATCTAAGTCATTAGATGAAAGGGAGAGGGGAGGCCTGGTCTCTGAGAGGTCCCCTCTATCTTGTGGGGTTCCTCAGGGGGCCATTCTCTCCCCTCTGTTGTTTAACATCTATATGCGACCACTTGCTCAGCTGGTTCGAGGTTTTGGGCTTGAGTGTTATCAGTATGCTGATGACACTCAGCTGGTGCTGAAGATGGAAGGCCGACCGGACTCTGTACCCGATTGTTTCCATCAGTGCCTCGAGGCCGTTACTGGATGGCTGCGTGCCAGCAGGTTGAGGGTGAATCCAGCAAAGATGGAGATCCTATGGCTGGGTCGACCGGGCAGTGGGGACATCCATCTGCCCACCCTGGATGGCGAGGTGTTACGCCCATCATCCTTGGTAAAGAGTCTGGGAGTCCTTTTGGACCCTCTGCTGACGATGGAGGCCCAGGTCTCCACTGTGAGCAGAACCGCC